GGGATGAAGGTGTATTTCGATGATGAGGGTTCAGAAATTATAGAGAAGAAAACAAAAGCAGTACTTCTGAAATCCAAAAGAAAGGGAGAGATGTATCCTTTAAACTTAAAACCAATCAAAGGGAAGCCTTCAATTTTCCTTCTTACGAAAGCATCTTCGGATGATAGTTGGCTTCGGAACCGAAGGCTCTCGCATTTGAATTTCAAGGAAATCAACAAACTTGTACGTGAAAAGGAACATATGTGTGCAACATGTGAGCTAGGAAAGCAAAGTAGGAAGAGTCACTCAACTATTATCAACACCAAAATCATTGAGTTGCTAGAACTATTAGATATAGATCTTTGTGGTCCATTTTTCATCGAGAGTATTGGTGGTAACAAGTATATTCTGGTGATTGTTGATGATTTTTCAAGATTTACCTGGGTTTTCTTTCTTAGACAGAAATCAAATGCCACTTCGAAGATAAAGGATTTCATCAAGTATATTGAGCTTCAATTGCGAAAGACTATTCGGAAAGTTCGTAGTGATAATGGTTCCGAATTTAAAAACCAAGCGTTTGAACAATTCTTAACTGGAAAAAGGAGTTTCACAACACTTCTCTACTCCATACACTCCTCAGGAGAACGATGTCATTTAAAGACGAAACCGCTCTTTTTGTGAAGCACCAAGGACTATGTTATCCTTTGCGAATATTCCATTTTAGTTATGGGCTAATGCTATCGAAACTGCTTGTTTCACTCAGAACCGCTCTATGATCAATAAAAGATTGTTAATCACACCCTATGAGATTTTGAATAAAAGATAACCTAACATTAAGTTCTTTCATGTCTTTGGTTCCAGGTGTTTGATATTAAACTCCAAACAGTAAAGGAACAAATTCGATGTGAAAGCAGACGAAGGAATCTTTTTATGTTACTCTCTCACCTTAAAGGCAAATAGGGTTCTGAACAAAAAGTCGAAAAAGATCGAGGAAACCTATTATGTCACCTTTGACAATAATTATCTAAAGAAGTATCAGAAAGCTGATTGTCTATCTAAGGAGATTTTTCCTTCGATAAATCTAATGTCAATTCCTCTCTCAAATCTATATGAGGAGTTTTTGAATTTGTTCGATGAGCCAGACAGAGCCATTTTCCTAGAATTCAAAGCAAAAGACAATCAAGGGGACGAATTGAAGAAAATCATTAATGATGCTGCCAAAGATCTTGAAACATGGCCACCAATTCTGAAGGCTTCTAAAAATCCGCCTCCATCACAAAATGATTCTCCATTCCAGGGGAGGGTTCCACCTCAATCACCACAACCGATACACCTATCCATGGGGAGAATTTCGAACTAAGAGTCAACAATGATAATTCAACTCCGACTATAGAATCCCATGCAGATTTCCAGTGGGAGGATCCGACTCTGAATGATGATTTTGATGTACAATCGGAATTTGAGGATGTTGTTCCAGAAATCAATACAACATATGATCCAAACTATCCACCCATGACAAAGTGGACCAAAGATCATCCCAAAAGTCAGGTTATTGGAGATTCATATTTAGGCGTTCTTACTAGAGCTCAAAAAAAGTACAAACAAACTGCACTATTCTCCAGAATTGAATTTTACATGTTTAATTCATTTATTTCCAAGATAGAGCCTAAAATTATGAAGATTGCTCTTGATCATTCAGATTTGGTGCAAGCTATGCAGGAAAAACACCATGAAATTGAGTGTAACCAAGTATGGAGATTGATTCCAACTCTGAAGTATGCATTTATGGTAGGATTTAAATGGGTATTTTGGAATAAGATTGATAAGGAAGGCAATGTGATTCGGAACAAGGCTCGATTAGTGGTTAAAAGGTATTGTCAAGAGGAAGGTATATACTATGAAGAAACATTTTCACCTACTGCAAGGCTGGAATCTATTTGTATTTTCTTTGCCTATGCAGCACATAAGAATTTTGAAGTCTATAAAGTGGACGTAAAATGTGCGTTTCTGAATGGTGAATTAGAAGAAACGGTCTATGTGGAAGATCCACCAGGTTTCATTAATGAGAAATATCGAGATCATTGTTATATTTTGGATAAGGTTGTGTATGATTTAAAATAAGCACCATGTGCATGGTATGAAACCCTTACTCGTTTCTTAAAGCAATCTAAATTTAAACAAGGTTCAGTTGACCCAACCTTCTTTTGCAAGAAAGATGGTGACCATCATATAATTGTCCAAATTTATGTTGATGATATCATTTTTGGATCCACTAATCCTAGATTAACAACTGAATTCCGAAAACTGATGGAAACTAAATTTCAGATGAGCTCAATGGTTCCAATTAACTTTTTCCTTGGTTTAAATATTAGATAGAGTTCAAAGCATATATTCATCAACCAGGAAGCCTACACGAAAACCTTGCTTGCAAAATTTGGAATGATGGGAGAATCGATGGTCAAGGTTCCAATGACATTCAGAATGAAGCTTACTCCATCTCTGGACAAACCTACATTTGACAGAACTCTTTATCGACAAATGTTTGGTTCCTTAATGTACATAATATCCAGTCGTCCAGATATTATGTTTTTTGTTTGTTATTGGGCTAGGTTTTAGGCAAATCCCTGTGAACCACATATGATTGATGTGAAAACATCTTCCGATACCTCAAAAGAACAACCTCTCTCGAAATTTGGTACCCTTCCAACTCAGGATTCTTTGTGCAAGCATTCTCCGATGCTGATCTTGGTGGATGCGGTCTTGATCATAAAAGCACTTTTGGTGGATGTCAGTTTCTAGATGAAAAACTTGTACTTTGGCAATCAAAGAAGCAATCCTGTGTATCCATATCTACTGCAGTCTGTAGAAGCTGAATGCATCGGAGCTGCATCATGCACTTCTCAAGTTGTATGGATTCAAAATCAACTTCAATATTATGTGATAAATATGAAGAAGATTCCTCTCTACTATGATTGTGAAAGTGTAATTTAGATATGTCATAATCCAGTGCAACACTCAAATACGAAACATATTGCACATAGATATCATTTCGTTAAGGATCATGTTGAAGATGGAAACGTTGAAGTACATTTTGTAAGATCCTCTAATCAACCGGTAGACATTTTCACGAAAGCCTTACCAGAACCTACATTTAATCGTATCTTACAAGGCATAGGAATGATCGAAGCGGATTCAGTTTTGAAATCCCTCTCGTAATTGGAAATTATTGTTCATATTCCGATTGATTCCGAGATTCATATTCATTCGGAATCTACTATTTATTAGGGTTTAAGACTGACATATATCCTTTGTACATTAAATGTCTTTCGACTGATTCCGAGCTTCGGAATGGTTCAAATGATACTCTTCATTTATCTTTCTGAATTTTAATTTCTGTTTCAATTTCTTTTTCAGAAAATCCAAATATCACAAAAGCATTTTTCTTATTTCTATTTTATATTTTTTCTGAAAATCAAAAACTACAAAAATATTTTTCATTATTTTGTGTGTGTGTTCCTTTTAGAATACGTTCTTGTTTCAGGTACACTTTTTGTAAACTTCAATTCAGAACAATGGAGCTGGTTTAAAATTACGAATCTTTATACTAGCTAAGTGTCCCTAGAAGTATGTTGCTGCATGTTGACTCAAGCCTCTGAGACTCTATGTTTTAAGCCTTAATGAAACTTTCGTTCCGATTGTTTCTTCCTAATCAAGCTAATACTTCACATAACTCATTGAGCTACCGTAATCTTCTCACAATGAGTTAAGAGCTAACTGCTTAGTCATTAATTTATAACTGAGGTACACCTTCTTCGAAACCACACTACAATTTCTCCACCAACTGCACATTCACAAATTGTAACCCTTGAGACTCTCAACATTACCACTGAGGTTTATGGTTACACAACATCTGTGTTCATGATCTTCAAATTGTTATTACCACGATTTGGGAGAAACCCAAAATCCGAAACCTATTTCTGAGTTGACAGTGAACAATCAATATGTTTTAGAATTTCTCACCAATGAATTGACGATTAAAACCTACATGGTTTGTACCTTTCACAGTTTGAAATCTTTTTTTTTTAATTTTTGCATGATCTTTAATTATGAAGAGTTCTTGACCCAAGACTTTTCTTACCAAAGGATCCAATTTTTATTTTTTGAGATTTCACTAATATACAGTCAAATAATAGATATTCCAAGTTTACTTGTTTTAATGGCTACACTGGTCAAACAAGTACTTCATTCTGATTTTCGAAGTTATGTTGAGTTTCAGAATTTGATTGGAGCTTCATCCACCCATATAATCATAATTCAAAGGGATGTCACATAAGCACTTCCGAATCTCTCTTGATTCAGAAGGAAGAGATCATTGCCCGGGATCAATCTAAACTTCATGTCATTATATTTTGACATCACTACATCCCAAAAATTTATTTTGTTTTATTTCTTTTTCTTTGGCAGACTCTTGCACAAAAATCTTAATGATTTTTTCACTGTCTGGATCTAGTCCCTATTGGTTATTGTGTCTTCAGAACCTATGTTATGATTAATTGGCTCATTATTCCGAAAGTATTGACTCAGCAAGCCGATTACTTGGGGATAAGAATTCAATTAAGGTGCGTTGTTTTCAATTTTCTGGCATCACGCATGTCAGTTGTAACATCGCCAGACATATACAATTGTCGTGTATTTCTATGCCACTTTACCGGGATATGGGAGCATCAAATGGTGGATTTTTGTCTCTCCACCTATCATAGACATATAAAATGGGTTTTGATGGTTTGCTTCTCTCACCGCTTACAAAATTCTCTCAAGAAAGACCCTTCTATCTCTCTCTCTCTCTCTCTCTCCACTGTTTATCATCGTCTTTAGCGCTGCTCCATGGTTGGTTCATCTGAGACTGCATCTTTTGCTAACCAATTGACCTCTGTGGTTATGCTGAATGTGAAACATGGTCAGAATTTAATCTTCGATCTCACTGACCCACGCTACAATGAAGCCTTACGGCATATGATTGAATGTTTGTATTTCTCGCCACTAGCTCAAGCCTTGACTATAGTGGAATCCATTCCTATCATCCATTTTCTAGGGCATATCCCTGTGCCACTTATGTTCTTGTTGATGGTGCAATGATCTTTAATGTTGATTCTCAAAAGACCTCTATCACTAAATCTCGATTTTGCAGAATTATGTGGTTTGATTCCACCGAAAGGCTTTTCGATCTGGATTCAATTTACTCTGTTGATCTTATCCACATGTTTTATCAAATGGGCTACAATGAGGATTTTTCACTGTTGTCAATTTTCAAGAAGCCCTATTTACCTCCAATGTGGAACGGCCTATTTACACTGTTGTTTAAGAGTCTTTCTGAAAGGGTTGTCGGCTTTGACAGTGCGAGTAAGCTCTTTTATACCATTATCATTGGTCTTTATAATGGCATCTAGTTGGATTGTGGATCAATTCTCTGGACGCAACTCATTAAGAGCACCTCATCATCTACTCGTAACTTTGAAATTTCATGTGCTTGTTTTTGGTCGTTGATCGTCCATAGAGCCTTAGTAAACTTGAAGATTCCTTTTGAGGATGATGTTGTGGTTGCTGAGATTCCTATTCTATAGACCTCATCATTCATGATGTCGGATCCGACCAAGTTTACTTTTGTTGGATCAATTCCGAAAGTGATGCTCGAGAAGGTTCTTAAAGATAATGTGGTAGTGAATGAATACCGCAAATACTTCCATCGGGTCCTCTCCCTATATATAATGATTTACAGAAGGCAATTAAGGAAACCAACAATCCAAAATAGGGTACAAAGCAAAATGGTAAGGCTGGTCCTTCAGAAGTGGTAAAGACTCCAAAGAAGAAAGTTAAAACGCAAGCTCACAAACCAAAGTCTTGTTTACCAATCACACAGGAGGATTCAGAATCTCGAACTATTTCGGATTTCCGAAGGGATGATATCGTCCAGTATGAAACCGAAGACACATCTGTGACCTAGGAACCTCAAGCCTCCACTCCCATTCCAAAGGTATCTACTCCACCCACTACTTTTATGCCATTTTGTGATTCTTTTCAGATGCATACTCCACCACCATCTCCGACCACCACTTCATCTCCCATCACCACAATTGTACCCATAACTATTGCTCCACTACCAAAGATATTTGTGGGTGTTTCTCAACATTGGATTTGTGTTCCCCTATCCATTCCATTATATTCTGATTCTACAGCTACAACCACTACCTTTCTTAGTACTATGATGTCTATTGTTAACGTATCTGATACAAGGGCATATGATTTCAGTGTTACTATTGGTGAAATCACTTTAATAGCTTCTCCTTTACGTGAAGATGATCCAAATCTTATATTTGGGGATGATCAAGATGATTTCCAAAAAAAAAATTTAGTTCCTTCACGGCTCATCAGGCAAGCGATGATGATGAAGCCCCTATGATGAAAGGGAAATTTAAACAACTTAATGCCAAATTGGATACTATTCTGGCCTCTTCCTAATCTTCAGTCAATTTTGATTTTGTGCTCAAGACACATCAGAAAACTGTGGAAACCTTAATGAAAAAAATGCTAAAGCTCTTGTTAAATCTGCAAAAGCTATTGAAGCCTTTGACAAAACCATTGTTGAAATGATTGAGAAAGTTGAAAAACTACATGTTGAAGTCACCAATTTTATGGTTGATTTTTGAAGCTCTATTGATCAAAACATTGAAGCAACAAACAAGGTCATTATGAGTCTCGGCACAACTTTACAAAATGAAAAAGAAGCTCTTTCTCATGTTTCAAGTGAACTCAAAACTGACAACTCTGAAATGAATGCTTTTGTTGTTTCAAAGATCGAGCAGCTACAAAAGGATATTGCTGCTGAGAATGCCATCATGGATAAGTTGGCTACGAAGAATGAAAAAGGCCAAGGTTCTATCCTTCAAGCTCAATTATGAGAATAAACATTTGGATGATCTAGAGACTGAGAAAGCAATCATCAAAAGGTGCATTTCATAAATTAATCAGTATATGCATCGTCTGGTGGAAACTCGGGATTCAGTTCTTGCTATTTCTGTTTGCCAACACCTTTCTGAGAAGCTCAAGTCGGTCTTTGCAATGTTAAATCGAATTGAAGGTGTTTCGAAAGATGATGCTCTTTCGAAACAAGGGGAGAAAAAGTTAAAGAGAAAGAACAACCTAAGTCTCAGGTTAAGAAGCCCATTGGTGAACATCACGAGGAAAAACCAAAAATAGATCTGAAGGTTAATGAAGCTTCGGGATCTAAGGGGAAAGAAAAGTTGACTGACGATGAAGAAGAAGAAGAAGTTCTTTCGGAAGGTGAAAAACTGGTAAGGAAGAAACATGACAAGGAGATTGATGATATTTTGATACTTTATAGAGAACTAGAAGCAAAGGAAGCAGAAGATAGAGTTTTGAACGTTACTCTTGCAACACAGATGTCAGTGATTCCTCCTTGGACCTTAGAAAGAATTCAGAAGGAAGAGATCGATGATCCGAGTGTCTACTTGTTGGAACCTTCAGTATCTTTTGAACTAATCAATATCATTGATTCTCAGCTTGAGTTCCCACTCACTCCGAAAGCCTTCCTATTTCGAGGCTTTGATCATATTGAGAAAGCTCCACTTTCAGATTACAATGTTAACAATAAGCTTTTCTCATTTTATCCCAAACATGGACAACCTCATTACAAGTTGTGGAGCCTAAGGAAGATGGTTGTTGTGAAAGTGTGTTCTCCATTTCCAACTGAACACTTCATAAATATCAAATTTAGGGTATTCCGAGGAGCAAGTCGTACTGAATTTGATTTCACTCTTGCTGATCTACCTTGTGTGAATCTGAATAACTATATTTCCTTGTTTTTCATTTTATCGAAAGATGAGGTGAAGTAAGAGCTGATCATTTCTCATATGAGAAGAATGTTGATTTGCTACATTCATGAAGTTGCAAAGTTGTATCTGGAAATCACTTCAGTGTTGAAGAAAATACAAGTTATGAAACCTAAAGAAGATACAACTGACTTTCAAAAGAGGAAATTGGGTAAGATTAAGAAAGAAGATTAGTGTGTGGTATATCAAAGAAGGGAGAGTGATAAAGTTCATAAGAGTTTGTTCTTTTTATTAGACAAACATTTGTACTCCATTGTTTCTCTAAACCATATCATTGACCTAACTATAGCATGAAAAGCAAACAATAAAGGGGATCTGAAAGGCTTCAGTGACATGATCAAGTGGTATATTTTTGTTCGGAAAACATTTCTGAATTTGATGACCAAGCTGTTCAAGGTTCAGATGGTACAACAATGAAGAATATCCTTTCTTGGGTCAAATGTTTTGTACTTATGTAGTCTTATTTATAACAGATTGGGCCTATCCATCTGGGTTTCGGATTTGCAAGGGTTAGACTATGTAATGTGCATGTAGGTATCGTTTTAGGGTTATCAATTGTGTTTTCCTTACTTAGCTTGTATAAAAAAGTTCATGTTGAACTCTTCTAAAACTATTAATCTAAGCATTTGACACTATTTGATCTTCATTGTTCATGTTATTTTGTTCACATCGTTTATAAATCTATCGATCAAAGTTATTATTTTTTCATTCAAATGTTGCTTGCTTTGTGCTTTGTAGGAATCATATTGATGTGAGCTAACTATCAAATGAATACATTAAGTTACATGTTATGGAGGTTAAATAATCTTAGAGTGAAAGATTTGGCCATATTGTGTATCTCTCGTTTGAGTCTAACCGTTGTAGGTTTGGGTCCTATAGTTGAAAGATTATTTAAGTTATGTTGCATGTAATTGTGTTTATGAAGTGGTTGGCTGACATTGATTGGAGCCCTTCAATAGTTGATGGAAGGGGAAGGTAGGAATCCTAGGAAGTATTTTGGTACGGTTGTTTCACAGTTGAGCAGGTACCCGGAGTATTTTATGAGTAGGTCTTAGAGGATGCGAGATGATCCTTGAGTAAAGTATGGATAGGTGTGGAAGGTAGTATTGGGCCCGTACTACCGGAAGCAGATGATCCATACTCAAATCAAGGAGAGTTTCAGGCATTCTAAGGGCTGTTTGGGAGAGATAGCACCGTTTGATACCATGATTCGTGACAATGGTTCCATATCTGTCGATCTTTTGGTTATGGTTGCTCAGGTACGAGGATGGGTCTGATAACTGTTTTGGGACCCAATGACGATATTGGTTGGGGGTTGGATGTGTTGGATTAGGTGTCTAAGTCCATAATATTTTTGGTATGTATTTGATTTGATTATGAGCATGGTCCTTTTGGGTTGCCTTCACTCATGCAACTTGATAGGTTGATAAGAGGAGAGAGATTAGAATTTATTATGTGAATAATAAATATGTACTCAAAATGGTTTTATTAATATATTACAAGGTTAATATATTATTTGGAAATCATATTCTTTAATTATTATTGATCAAAAATTAATTTGGAATTAATTTAGTGGTCAAAAGAGACTGGTTAAATAATTAGGGGACTGTTATATAAATCATTGATAGTTGCATAAATGAGTTGATGGACTCCATAGAGTGGAGTGGACAAAATCCTATAGGGAAGCCCTATAGATTTTGTTCATGGGCTCTAAGGAAGAAGTTCATGGGCTTCTTGTTGCCTAAGTTAGGTATTAGGCTTTCCAACTGAAAACCCTATCAGCCACAACTATATATAGGACCCCATACAAGGGGATTTTTGGCCTAATCATTCAAGAAAGAAACCCTAGCCGAAATCCTTCTCTCCTAAGTCATCCTCCTTGCATTGGTTGTTTGTGACTCCATTAGAGGTACCATACTTGGGGAACTAGGCTTTCAGAAGTCAAGATCAAGAAGGATTAAACTTGTTATTGCTACATAACAAAAGAGGTAAAGATTCTAACCCTAATCATATGTGATTTTCGATATATGTATGCTAGTCATAGGGTTATTACTTTGGTATTCATAGTTGTATGTTCAAATTAGAAAAACCTAGATCCAAAGCAATTAGGGTTGCATGTACGCCATAGGAATGATGTTATGCTCAAAACCCAACAGTGATATAAGAACCTAGGTCGTTTTTCTAATGAATAAATGCAAAAGCGAACTACCAAAATATCAAAAAGTCGAGAATTTTGCTATCTGACAGGTCTACTCGACGAGTCCATGTATGGACTTGACGGGTTGCATGAACTCGATGAGTTCCATAGTGGACTCGACGAGTCCATTGATCTGATACCGGGATTTTCAATTTTTTGGCCAGTTTTTTTTATTAGGATAATTACCAAAACTCATTTTTCTTGCCCAAAATCGATTTTTATGATTGGTATAAGATATCCTTATAAAAAAATTGGTGGATTTGGTTAAATATGGATAATATAGGATTATTTTGATTCAAATATTTAACTTAGTAATTTTGAAAAAGTTTAAATTACACCATTTAATGTTTTATAGTTTAAATTTGAAATTAAAAGTTTTATTTTTGAAACTTAAATAGTTTTTAAATTTAAATATTTAAACCCTAATATTTTGAAAAGTTTCAAATTTTTTCATCAAGTATTGGAATTTAAAATTTAATTGAAAGGTATTAACTTTGAAATATTAAATTCTAAAACCCTAATATTTTGAAAAGTTTAAATTACACCCTTATGAATTTTATTAAATTAATTAAGTGTTTAATTAAAAGTGAGAATTAATAAATCCATAATAATATTGTTTAAGTTTAATCAAATTAAAAGTATAATTTATTAATAGATTAAACCACTTCGTATTTTAAATGTATAAAATACACCCTTATACTATATAAAATTAAAAGTTTAATATATTATACGTATAAGTGAAAGGCAATCTTAGCGTTAGTAGGTCTCATTCAAGAAGCTGGTCTATAAGGGGTGTTAAAGGAAGCGACCTGTAAAATGACTGCCATTGGGTATCCACTCTTACCCACCACACCCTTGACTAGTGGAGGGTCGTTAGTCGAACGAGTATGATAGGACATAACCTTCCATTATAAGTATAATGAAGTACTAAGTAACTAAAACACCTTTTATAAAATTCTCAAATCTTTGTTACTTAGGAAAAATGTGAAGTTGGTGCTAATTCATGAAATTGCACATTACACCATGTTGGTCATTAGTGGAGCGTGTGTGGTTAATCGACACACTAATGTGGAGTTGGTGCTAATCCAAGCAAACATTAAGATGAAAAGTTCAAGGTCACTCAATTCCTAGTACCCAACAAAATATTTTACAATTTGGAAAAAGGATGCCTTAATCCAATTGCAAAATATTTGAAGGTAGGTAAATGACGATTTACCAATTTCCACCATGAAAAACGAAATTAGTTATTAAGTTTTCATTGGATTGAAATTCCTTGATTCTTTTGAGATTCATTGAACTTTTCTCTGGCATGTTTAAATCTCGATTATGCCCTTCAATTTTGTGACTGGGATGTCGAGGATCACAAGCAAGGTGTGAATAACGATGCAAATTAGCTTTATACAACTAATTTTACAAATCATCTAACCAATGTGACGGTTAACCACATATGCTCCATTAATCCACGATTAACATCAAGCTACCCTTTTTCATACATTGTAAATCCCAAATTAGTGTGCCGGTTAACCACACACGCTCTACTAATGACTTAACAAGGTGCAAAGTGCAACTTCATTATACTTATTAATGAGAATTAATGTCCTATCCTACCCGTTTGGATAACAACCCTCCACCAGTCAAGGAAGCGGTGGGTGAGAGTGCACACCTATTAAACCACCATTTTATAGGCAGTAACCTTATACCCCTTTATCAACCGGCTTCGTGAATGAGGCCTATTGATGGTAAGACTGAAGTGTTATATATATATATATATATATATATATATATATATATATATGAATTGTGTTATCGACCGACTTCGTCAATACTTTTGATTTCCATAACTTATGGATTTTAAAGTTTCATGAATGAGACCTTTCAAATTCCAAACTTGACGACAAGTTATGAAACCTTTCATGATCTCTTGAATTCTATCACTTACAATAGTTAATAGTTTCATAAATAAAGTCTTTTCATATTTCATAACTTGAAGACAAGTTATGCAAGCTTTCCAAGGAATCAAATCAACTACAAGGTATGTAATTCTAGCCATCTTTTATGTTAATGCTCCCCATGTATGCTAGATAGGTTTATGAACCTTGGAAAAGTATTTTGCATGTAGTATAGACAAAAATAGATTCAAGGTTTCTAGGGTTGCATGTACACCTTATGAGTGTTAGAATGCTCAAAACCCTTCAGTGGTAGCAGACCCTAGGCTTGTTTGTTTGATACTTCATGTAAAATAGTGAAAAAAAGTCGAATTTCATGCTATCTGCACAGGGAACTCGCCGAGTCCATGGGGTGACTCAACGAGTCCAAGAGATTCTTCAACCAACTCGGCGAGTTGGTTATTGCACTCGACGAGTTGGGCATGTAGAGTGTAGATTTTTGACTTTTGCTGCTGGAAATGAACTAGAAACATTAGCCTAAACTGTTTTAGTGTTTTAAAACTTATTTTAGATGGTGTAATGGTTGTTCTAATCCATTTACAATGGCTAATATCAAAATTACATGATTATATGAGTTCATATCTTCTTGAAATTTTGATATGACTATTCATGTTCTTATGAGTTCTTCATAGATCATAGGAATTACTTGTTAAATTCTTAATTCATGATCTTTATGTGTTTTAATGGAGTCCATAACTTGTCTTGAAGTTATGGATAACCAAAAGTCACTTTGTATTAAATCCATTAAAATAACACATAAGTTACAAAAATGAAGAGTCTTCATTTTTAATAACTCATAAGTTATGAATTGAAAGGTTTTGTAAAGTTACAAAACTTGCCCTCAAGTTTTGGAACATGTA